ATATGAAAAAACTACATGATTTGAAAAGCATTTTTATTCAATGAAGTTATTTCACTATATTTTTGTAAGGAACTTGGTTAGGCATTCACCTCATGATGAGTGCTAAGACTAATATGAAGTACTATGGTTTCTACCACTTCCATCCCAGCCATTCTGAAGCTCACCCTGATCCTTTCTTCATATGAGGCCAATGAGGAAAGACTTATCATTAGATTCAAGGACTTGATAAAAAGTGAATTTTCTGTCCATCTGCACAGATAAATTAACTTTGCCCACTAAGTGATGAGTTCTTCCCCACTTGATCATGAGCACTTGGAGTATAGAGACTGGATTTTACCTCCTTCACATTGCACTGATTACTTGCACAGTGACTGACACATTTGGGGGCCCCCTTATGTGTTTGTAGACAAACAGGTGAATGTTTCCAAACTCAGTTTGCAAAGCTGATAAAGAAGGATCTTTACCTGTAAAGGAAATTGAGTGAAACTGCATAACTTATCAACCTTATAGAGATGGAAAAGCACTTCAAGTTTTCCCAATAACCAAGTCTGGTGCAGAGTCTGTGAGCTTCTAACTTACTGGAGCTCACTTCCCTTCCTATTCATTGTATTATTTGTACTCAGGCCTATACTAACAGACCTGGCTTCAACCCTATGCTCCCCAATCCTCCATGCAAAGTTAGTTCCCACTCTGTGCATCCATGATGTTGTGTCCATGAATTTATTCACCAATTAGAATTGAAATGATCACTTACTAGACAGTTTCTCTCATTAGCTGAGAAGTTCCTATTTTGCCTCTGTGTGATGCAAATAAAAAATGTGTGCTGAGGAATGAACAACTGAATAAATGATCTAATAAGGATGTAAAATATAAGGCTTGATCCTCTCATCTCCCTGACCATCTATGCTAATTGATCATGACATACTTCCTTTGCTAGACCCACCTTCAACCTCACACCTTTCTTAATGGCATAGCCACTTTGAGGTGGCCACTAACTTTATTTCCAAGATTGCACAACTACACATATATATTTATCATCTAGAGGTTCAAATCCCTGACATGGCTTTTATTAATCCATCCCTTCTGCACCACCTAATTCCTGATACCAAAGTCAGTCCTCCCAAACCACCACCTTCCCTAGACCCCAATCTGCCTTCTAAGTAAATACCAATTTTCACTGCTATAACAGGTTTAACTGCCAGTGTGAGACCCCAAGAAAGAAAAACAGTGAGTGGCATCAGTGTGCTTCCCTGCAGAGCAGCTAGCTTTTAGTAGCAAAACACCCTGAAAAACACAATTGACGGGGGGGTTCCTGGAGCCCTCCTCCCCCTGCGGTGAATCATTCTGCCAGAATGCCAAAAGCCCAGGAAGGCCTTTGGGAGAATTCGATAAGTTAAACAAGGCTGCCCTCTCATGGTTAAAAAGAATGACCTGTATAAAATAAAATGCTTCCTATTCTGCATCCACAAGAAATCCAGGGCACTTCTACTAAAAATGTGAGTAATACTCTTATCTTTTTAAAAGCAGGTAATTTAAAGTACATTGCAGTCCACTTCTAAGATAAAATGAATGATAAGTAAAATTGTAAGTGAAAAAGGCACTTTCACAGTTTAAAAACCTACTCTGGGTTGAATTAGAATCATCATCAAGAATTCATTACTGATTCCAGAGTGTAAAGGCAGATGAAATAATTCCTTAATACAATGGATTTCTTTCATGGGTGATTTATTGTAGGTTTTAGTGGCCTTACATAGCAGTAATACCACTTCCATTCATATATTCATTCATTGAGCAAATATCTATGAAGTACTTACTAGGGAATTTCAACAATTCTAAGATATTTTCTTTTTTATTTCATATTTTTAACATTTTCAAAGCATTTTACAACCTGTGTTGTGTTATAATTTGTCACCAGGTGGCAGCAGAGATGTGGTTCTAATTGTGATTGCTTGGGCACGTGCAATCTGTTAATGCTGTCGGCTCAAGAGACAACTGCAACCCCTTCTATTTAAGGAGCATTTGGGAAAGGAAAATGAGTCCTGCTTCTTGTCTGAAAAACCTTCTATTGATACTTTCTGGTAAGATTAAGAAAGCACCACCATCAAAACTTGCAAAATGGATGTGACCACTCAGGAGAAAATGTTCAGACAATAGGGGAACACGCTAAGAAATGTTGCGTCATCAGTGCTCTTGATGGTGCAAAGGATCACGCAGTGCTGGAACACAGGTTGACGCATTGACGTTTCTGAGTCTTTGAGTCAGTAGAGTTGGATCCTGGAAGGGAAGAAAAATATATCTTTGTTAATTAATTTTGCTTACAGGTTCTGATAGAATGATTTGCCAGCCAAAGGTAAGTTAGTGAATGGGATTTGAACCAAATCTGACATCTAAATTAAATGTCTCATCTCCCTTGCTGTTCACCCCTTCTTGCAAGGCTCCCCTAAGGGAACGAATCTCCCCGTAGCATCCCTCTGGCCCTGCCCTTTCCCAACGCCAGCCTGAAATCACAGCTCTGAGTCTCTCCTGTTTTTCAGAGCCCCATTCCCACAGACATTTTTTAAAGTAAATTGTTCAATGCATTAAACATTATGCATAATATCCTAATAAAAACTGCATCTGTGCCTGGCATAATGCAAGTGGGTGCTAATAGGACTTTCTTTTCCCAAACAGGTAACACCTGCATGTTTAAAGACCGGCCCTTAGGAAGATACTGCCAAGCCTCAGTGGCTGCTAATAGTGAAAATTTCAGGCCACCGGAAAGGCTAGAAGGAGAAAATGATAACTAGTTTATATTTACTGAGCTTTATCATATGCCCAACACCATTTTAGGTATTTTAAATGCATCATCTAATTACATACTCGGGGCAAGTCTGCATGCAGCAAGCTGGTCTCTGCCACCCGGCTTCTTGGTCCCCTCTCAGCCCTGCAGCACTGGGTGGAGCTTTTTATATAGAGTCAATAATAAGTCATTGCTGACACGTGTGCGAGCCTGCACCTGTGAGCATTGCACATATGCAGTGGGCAAATAGACTGGGTCAGGGGAGAATCCTCACCATGGAACTTCCATTTTTCTCTCCACCCCTCCAGGATTCTTGCCTCACAATCTATATGCCCTCAATCTTCTGCAACGGTCCCTGTGCAAGAAGCTGGAACATTGTAACCAAATTCCACAATAAGAACAGAGGTTACAACACTATACAAATAACAACAAAAATTATGATACAGATAACAGAATTACGTTAATCCTCAAACCAGCTCCCAAACTCAGATGAGTCCATGTTCATCCAGCAAGCAGCAGCATTTGCTGGGGTGTGTGCCCAATTCACACAGACATTAGCGGAGATTAACCTTAAGGGCAATGATACATGTTTTAGTGATACCAACATAGGCAAATGTTGACCTTCCGGGAGGATGCATGCAAGAGAGTGGTCCTGTGATAGGACCATGGCAGGAAGGGGGTCCTGTTGAGGTCTAGTGTACCATACCTTTACCCCTCAACCCTGTGGGGTTTCTGAGGGGTCTATATATAGTGCTACTGGAGGTGCATGCACTGGACATAATGATAAAACAAACTCCCTGGTAAGATGCTCTTACCTTCTGGCTTTTTAGGGTACACCATCATGATCTTTTGGGGCCACTCTGCCATTACCCCAGGAATATACAGAAGGCCAGCCTCCAGACCTTGCCCCAAGATGCCAGGAGGGCCAGCCATTGGTGGTCCATGAGTTGAAACATCCAAGGTCATGTCCACTGAACCGTCTCCAGAGTTTATTGCAGTTGGTGCTGGTAGCAAGATATTATTCTGGTGGCCAAACCCCAGCTTCAATAATTACATGTTGGTTTGTATTTGCAATTGTATACGGACGCAACAGTGTGCATTAGCATGTCTATGGGGCTCCATGCCCCTTTCTGGGGCTTTTCATTCAAATGCTGTAGCACTGTCCATAGCTGACTGACAACTAGTGCAAACAACTAGGGGTGAGGGCTCCTGGGTCATGGCAAGCCATGCTGCCTACAACTCTGCCCATTGACTGCTCTTCCTCTCACCATCTTCCATCCATATTATCTGAGTCTTAGGATGCAAAGCGATTTCCCTCCACTTCGGGGACTCCTCGTAGCTGGAGCTATCTGTGTGCTATGCCACTTTGGATATAGGAGCTCTTCCCTCCTGATAAGGCTGTAATGGCTGTAAAGCAAATTCTTCCTGTCTTTCACTGGTATATGTCATTGACCCCAGTAAGCATTGGAGTTCTTCACTCAAGGGGCTGGTAGAGATGGCACCACACTGCTATAGGTGTGTGCCCCACTTGGCCAGTGTAGGCGTCTATGCCACGCCACTCCACAGCTTTTGGGTCCAGTCTTGTACCCACCCCAGGATAGGTGGTTATTACCGTTACTGGGGCCTTTCCAGTGATGGGCTCCATAGCCAGCAAGGTGTGGTACACGGCAGACAATTGTTTCTCTATTAAGGTGTGCTGTACCTCTGCTCCTTTCCAGAGTTGTGACCAGAATCCAATAGGTTGATGAGTGCATTCAAGCCACTGCCAGAGGCCCCATCTATAACCATTTTTGGTCACATGAACATCCAGCTCACAGGGCCTTGATGGGTCTATCACACTCAAGGCCTGCACGGCCTTGACTGTCCATTTTGCAGCAGTAAAAGCAGATGCACATGTTTCATCCCAATCCCACCTGACACCCCTTTATACCAAATGGTATAAGGGCTTCAGAATTAGGGCCAAGTGCAGGGTAAACTCTCTCTAGTAGCCTAACAGACCCAAGAACTCTTGCAATAGTGCCATGGTTATAGGGGTAGGAAAAGCCTGGACTTTATCTATCACTGCTTCTAAACAAATAACTTTAGTTTTATCCAACCAGACGACCCCCAAGAATTTGACTGACAAACCAGGTCCCCGAACCTTGGTGCTGTTCACAGTCCATCCTTTCTCCTGTAGATGTTGCAGCAATCTAGGTGCTGCACCTTCTAGATCTTCAAGAGAATCAGATGTGAACATGACATCATCAATATAATGGTACAGCTGCACCGTTGGCAGTTTCTCCCATGTAGCCAAGTCCTGGGCTACAAGTCCATGACTGATGGTGGGGCTGTGAAGGTATCCTTGTAGAAGGACAGTGAAAGTCCATTGCCATCTTTCCCATGTGAAGGCAAACTGTTCTGACTTTTCTGTGCTATATCAATGAAAAACAAGGCATTAGCAAGGTCCACAACATAATGATATGTCCCTAGTTCATGACTTAGGGTGTCCATAAGGGCTGTTATACAGGGGACAGCAGCATGCAGAGGGAATATGGCTATACTGAGTTCTCTGTAATCCATGGTCAGATGCCAGGAGCCATCTGGTATTTTCACTGGCCATACCAGGGAATTAAAAGGACTATGTGAACTAGTTAAGTGTATGACCTACCATCTAGGGCTCTAACCATGAGAGGTAGCATAGTATGTAGGTTAAAGTCACAGCTTCAGGAATCAGTCCTTCACTAGCAAGGTGACTGTGGGAAAAAATACTTATTTGGGTTTTTCTAATCTGTAAGAAAGAGTCATAATGGGACTGGTTTTACAGAGTTATTATGGGATTAAATGAGATAATGCATGTGATGTATTCAGAGCATACCTAACATATAATTCTACTACAGAAAATACTTGTTATTGAACAAGAACAGGAAGAAAGCAGGACCCTGTGCCAGCAAAGTATATGACTGCCCTTGTTCCTATCTTCTTTGTGATGTTCACTTTGAATCAAACAGATCCTTTTAAAAAATGAGGCATCATGCTAATGAGAGATTCACCAATTGGCAATAATATGGGCTTTTAGAACCAGGCAGCTAGGATTCAAACTCTAGCCAAGCTATTAATTAGCTTTATTTTTCTTACTCTCTTAATTTCTTCTAACAGATTATGTTTGTAAAAATGAGGTGAATGCTACCTACCTCCAGAATTATGAAGACAACATTAACATGGATTTCAGTTTGGGGCACTCAGTGTATTTTAAATAAAGATTATTTTCTTTGCTCCTACCTAGCATTATGACGTACATATAAATAATGCTAAGTAAATTCTTGGAATTGAAATTGTGGTGAGATTTTGTTCCTGGTAACCGGTATATACCTTTGTGTCTTTCTGGGATTCTGGTTCTTCTCTGACCTTAACTTGGTGATGAATTCTATTTTGCTCCTGGACCATGTTAACACTGACTGAGTTGATTTTCAGCCCTGGAGAGTAGGGTGATCACGGAGAAAGTCGCAGAGAATAGAAGGAAAAGGATATACCCTCATGGGCAGGTGGGAAGAGAAAGCTCCTCCGCGGGCATAGCTGAGCTCGAACACAGGTAGTACTCATCCACCTGATTCTGTGTATCCAGTCCTAACGTTCTGAACATGCTTCCTGGTGCCATTTTCTCCTGTTCTTAGTGATTCAATTCTATCAAACAAGAATATAAAAAAACAAAACAACCACACACATAAATAGCAGAGTTAGGTAAAAAAAAATCTGTCCAGATGGTCGATTCCTTTCTAGTTCTCATTTCCCAGTGGAAGTCCATTGACACCAATAGCAGCCTAAGCTAAAATTGACTTTCTCTTTAAGGTTGCTAGATTGTGGAGTTCAGAGAAGGCAAAATATTTTGCTAGAATCTCTAACATGGAATAGAGATTAGGTTGGTAATGTCACAAAGGAGGTTTCCAACAGTGTCAACAGAGGCTGTAGTGATGACTAAGGAAGTTCATAAAATAGCATGGTCTGAAAAAGCAGGTGGAGAATACTAGTTATAGGTAGGACCAATCCCATTATGAGAAATGCCATCACAATAAAAATTCTATATTTTAGAATTCCAGTAATTAGTTCATTTAAGTCAAGAAAAATTAGAAATAACAGAACTAGAGCCAAAAAAAACCTCCTTAGAGCTCACTGCAATTGGTTTTGACTTCTATTTTAAACTATATAAACCTAAGTATTAAGCCAGACTAAACGCCCTCTGATCTCTCTAGGCACTATTTACAGGGCCAAAGAAGGCCTTGTAGAACTGGCCCAAGCTGACCAAGATCGGCAGACACAGGGCGCCCATTTTATGGCTAACTGCAGTCACCTGGAGAAACCCCATTCTCTAGCAGAGAGTGGAGACTGCATCGCGGGTGAATGCTAAAATCGCTCACCAGACGCTAACTGAATGCACAGGAAAAGGAAAAATTCTGCTTCTCAAAGGACAGCTGGAAAGGGGGTTGGAGTGCTCAAGTTCGGATTTACATTCCAAAGCAGTCCCAAGGCCAAACACGCTGTCTGCCTGAACAGAAGGAAAACCCCTTTCTTTCTCTCAGCGTCGCTGGAAAACCCAGCTCGCAGGCGGCTGGGGTAGGAACCGAGAGCTTGCTTGGCGGCGCCCTGCGGTCCCTCTGGAAGTAGGGGCAAGACAAAGGACGCTGGCCCCTGGGGAGATCCCTAACTCGAAGCCCGTTCCTCCTCCTATTCATCACCTGCAGGTTTGAAGGCCAAGGGACACGCCTTCGTCTCGGATCTCTGGGACAAGGGAGGGGTGCGAGGGGAAAATTTCTAATTACTTGATTCATTCAGTGGTTAAATATTTATTCTATGGGTGCAAACCACTGACTTAATCGGTTTTCTTCTTTCTCACAATCATCCTGAGATTTGTGTTGTTCGCTCCATATATCCTTCTTTACCAAGGGAAGCAAAAGGGCTCAGAGAAGAGCAGCGTTTTGCCCAAGTAGCAGGATCAAAGCCTGGGTGTCTAATTCCGGGCTGTGGCCCCAGGACCAGTAAGCTCGGCCGGCGCGAAAAGCCCACCTGGGCCCCGAACCCGCGCTCCTCCCGCGAGCTCCCCGCTGCGCCGCCGCCCGCCTCTCCCACCTGCGCGGAGAGCGCCGCCCCCACGCGCGTCCCGCGAGGCCCGTGGCAGGTGCGCGGGCGCCCAGCGTCCCCGCCCCCGCGCCCCACGCCGGCTGCCCGGCGCCCCGCAGCGGCAGGGCAGGACGCGCAGCCTCGGCGAGAGCCCGGGAAGCGCTCGGGCGGAGAGGAGGAGCCAGGCGCCCCGAGCGGGTGGAGTCGGAGCTGGAGAGCGGTGGAAGCGGATTTCCTGGGGCCACCATGGCGTTTGGGAAGAGCCACCGGGACCCCTATGCGACCTCCGTGGGCCACCTCATAGGTAAAGAGGCGCGGGGAGAGACGCCCGGAGACCTTCCCCCTTGACTCCATTCTCGGCCTGCAGAGGGCCGAGTTGGCCCAAGTTTGAGGAAATTCTTCCCGTCCCCCGGCAACTTTCCCGGGGCACCCGCGCCCCACCCGTTTCCTTTGAGGCGTTTCTGTCTGCCCCACTCCCCCTAGAACCCCTCCTCCAAATCTCCTGCCTTTTGATGCCTCCTGGGGGGTTGGTAGTGGACCCCAACAGGTGAACCACGTACGGGATTCAGGTGTGGCGTTTGGGGGCCTCTGCAAGCAGAAAGCGTCAGCTTCTTGGCCAGGGGCAGGTTACTCACAAAGTGCGCCCACTCAAGGGCACAGTACGGTTTTGTCCTTTTACAGAGGAGGCAGAGAACGCTCAAGGAGGTTGTGATGTGTCCGCACTGGGAGAGGCAGGTCTCTTCCAACCAGTTCTCCCAGTCGCCAGGCCCTTGCAAACCTGAGTTACTTTTTCTGGGTAAACAAAGGGAATGGAAATGTTCAGCACTAGAATGAAGGTAGAGGGAACATGGATACCATGGGGCCACAGATGCTTCTTCAGGCCACTAAGGACCACACAGGTGCCTGCCTAACTCATCTCTCTCTCCTGTGGCTCTACTCTGAATAATGTACATGGAAAGGCAAGCCGGTGCCTGGACTGTTTTGCGAGCAACCAGGTGCATTCTCCTTCTTCTCCCTGATGCCTCCCTTGGGAACAGGGTGTGGCAACCGTGCATATAGATACCAAGCAAAGCATGATCATGTTAGTGGGGTGGGGAAATCATGAGAACCTGGTAGTTATAGGAGGAAGGCTCACGTTTGCAGTTTTGCTTGCAGCTCCATTAACTGCAGTGTGACAAGGAATGCACCACTCAACCTGAACCTTAGTTCCCACCTCTTTAAGGGTGAGAGTATCACTGAGGTGGAAATGCTTTCTAAATGGTTGCTGGTTATATCCCTATTGGATATTGACATGAACCCTGAGCAGAAATGAATTCAGACTGCATCTTCATAGGCCAGTTTGGTCTGTCATGCTGTAAACATTTACTGACTGCCAACTATATGCCTGAACTGGCTGAGGCAAAGATAAGATATGGTCTCAGCTGTCAGGTAACACAGTCTTGTGGGGAAGACAAACACAATTTTGTAGTAGTTAAAATGTAGCGTTGCCAACACAAGAAAAAAATGTGAAAATACCCAAAACTTATGAAAGGGAGAAATTAACTCAGCTGTGGCTTTTGAAGGTTGAATAGGAGTTTTCTAGGAAGGTGGGAAGGCAGCAGAAAGAGCATAGAATTTGGCAGAAGGACAACAGTGTGTGTCTGAACAGCACAAGGCTGGTCAGCTTTGTCCATTGAATGCCAAATTAAATTAGCTATTTTTCTAGATGGGAAGCAGGCTAAGCTTTGGGGTTCCCCCAGCCAAACCCTTATTCTTTCCCTTCATTATCCTTTTTAATTTTCTTTTCTTTCCCAGTAGAACGTGATGTTTTCTTGCTGAGGGATGTTCGTCATTGTAGGAAAGATGTTAACTCACTCAGGTTGAGTGTTCTATTACCCTTCCCAGATGGCATTTTGTATTCCTTAGGAGGATGTCTGGAGAGGGAAAAATATCTGACTGTTTAATAGTGGGGTTCTGGATAGAAGAGCATTCAAGTCGTCTAGATGCAGTTTGGGTTGGTACAGGTGCTGGGAGTGACCTTGCTCTACTGCTGAAGGGCATGGACAATTTCAGTAGTTTAGATCTTTTTTTCTAATCGTCTCCCAGGCCCACCCCCCACCAAGGAGAATAAATGATGTTTAAAAACAAACAAAAAGTGATGTCCAACAACTTAGATTTGAATGCTAGTTCACCTTGTATGGGCTGTGTAGCTTTGGATGATTTCCTTAACTTACCTGAATTCCTGTTTTTTCATCTCTAACACTGGGTTAAATGAAATTGCATATAATAAAATACTTATCTTTACACAGTTCATCTTGCAGGTGGCCAGTGAAAAGGTTCCTGTCCTCTGAAAGGCAGGCAGGCAGATGGAGATTTAGCTGGCCTGTCCTGGCTCTGTGACCGGGTGCTGTGCCTGCAGTCTTTATTAATAAGTCATTCATTACTCTTGCAACAGCACTCTGAGCAGGGGTTCTGACTGATTCCTGAATTACTGGAAATTGTTCAGGAAAAAAAAAATCTCCTTGCCCTTTGGTAATACAAACTTAATGGTACTTGCTAGTGAACCCCAAGCAGATTATTTCAGAAAGAACGTAATTTTTATTCTGTTGTAGCTCAGCCCCAACACAACAGCTTTTTCTTTGCAGAAAAGGTTACATTTGCTGGAGTTCAGACTGAAGATTGGGGCCAGTTCATGCACATCTGTGACATAATTAACACTGCCCATGATGGGTGAGTACAGTGTGTGGTTCATGCATTTGCTTTTGGTTAAGAAGGATCAGAACTGAAGTACATTTTCTCTTGCAAACTCGGTGGTTTTCTTGTTGAAACTTTTCATCACCCCTTAGGCACTTGCTGCCTTTTGAAGACATGTCAGGTTGAAATATTAGGACAGCTGCTTGTTTCAGCTTGTAGAATATCTGAGAATCCATTATAATTTTTCTTCTCTTTGCCTTTTCCTTAGTAGTTTCAAATGTTGTCTCTGTGAGGCTCAAATTCCTTGGTCTTTAAAGAGAGATTGTTTCCCTCTTTCAAAATTTCCCCTGCTCTGATTGCCTGTACTTTTTGTTACTGTAACTGAACAACATTATCAAGAAGCTAGTGGACTTCTGATTGTGACCTGTCTCTGGGCAACTATCATTATTAATCAGGAAATTATCTAGCCATCCTTTTTTTCTCTCCCTGTCACAAGACAGTTTTCTTCCGAATGCCAACTCATCCATGTTCGTGCTGTGCTCTTAAATGATGTGCTAGTTTTTGTTTTATTTTTTTTTTAATTTTAGAGAATTGAAGTTTTAAAATCATTAAGAAGGCCACCTTTTGTGAATGTAGTCTGAATTTCAGGTTTTGATAAGGGATATGATTCTGTTAATTTTCATAGCGAAAGAGATTTAGTTTACTTATGTTAAAGAAAACATTACACTTAATTATTAACCCTATCAGTGGAAAATTCTTATGATTAGTATGTTAAAGTGTTTTATGTTTTCCCTATAATCTTGTTTACCATATTTGGTCCCTCTGTGAACTTTCCTTCATTGATAATACAAAAAGGAAATATCAAAGTAATTTATTTCCTTTTAAAACAATATCTTTATTCTAAGCTTTTCCAAGAGTTTAACCTTAGATATTATGTAGGATTTTTTTCCCAGAAATATAGATATCTATATGATTTATATTAGTTACAATTCTATATACACCTATGTGATATTATATAATCCATTATCATATAATAGAAATTGTACCCATGCAAAACAACAGTTGTGGAAGGTAATAAACAGCATTTGTATCTTTTTTGTTGTTTATGCTGATGTATAAGATGTACAGCATAATGACTTGATATTTATATATTGCAAAATAATTACCACAATAAGGTTAGTTAACGTCCATCACCTCATATAGTTACGAACTTTTTTTTCCCTTGTAACAAGAACTTTTAGGATTTACTCTCCTAGTGACTTTGAAAATGCCATATGGTAATGTTAAAACTGTAGTCATCATATTGTACAATATATCCCCATGGCCTATTTATCTTATAACTGGGAGCTTGTACCTTTTGACCATCTCAAAGTAAATTTTGACCCTCTACTTACACATAGTTCTTCCCTTTGTCATATAAAATTGGAGCATATCAGAAGCTGACCTCAGTAGTAGTAATCCCTCCTACATCCCCTTGCCTGTAGGGCGCTGTGGAAATACTACAGTCTATAAATGAATAGCCCTCTCTGTTTTGGGAGTGACATTTCCTATAAACTGGTTCTGTGTGTTGATGGATATAGATATGCGTACATTTCATGTGCAGTGTTTTCTAGGTAATTCTCTTCTGTAGATATTTTAATTCTCACAAGGAAGTGGGTAGTTTTGTCTGCCTCCATGTATGAGGAAATAGGTGTGAAAAGTTAAGTGATCTGCCCAGGAGAGCCAAGGCCTTGGTCTCCTCCTTAGCCATTTCTCTTTCCACAATGCAAATTGCTTTTCAGAGACTTAGTTTTTCAGCAATACTTAAATTGATGATTTCACTGTATTTATTGCCATAGGCCAAAAGATGCAGTAAAAGCTTTGAAGAAAAGGATTTCCAAAAACTACAATCAAAAAGAAATCCAACTTACCTTGTCAGTAAGTACTCTGTTATAATGAAGACTCTAGGATTTCCAAGCTACAGTCACAGTTTTAGTTTTGGATTAAAAAAAAAATTCTGATAATCAGTAGGTTAGCAAAAGCTGTTTACAGTATGAACTAAAACTGTTTAATGAGAATTGCAAAAATGAGAGAACTTTGTCAATTGTAATAGTGTTTAATTTTGTGGAAAGAGAATGTTCTGGAAAGTCACTTTTTCCTGGAGATGGAAGACTTGTAGATACAAGGAATTTGTATATGTGGTACACATGGGGGAACTGAAGTCTTGAAAAATGCCTCCCATTTAGGTTTGTACCTCCCTCAAATACCTTTGTGAAATTCTCAGGTGCTGGCATGTAATTAAGTTCCATCCAAGTTCTGTTTGGTATAACTGGAGAATGTTCTTTGGTGATTTAAGCAGTTCTCCTGTGGGCCTTATTGTCTGTGACTTGGGTGCGGACACTTTTTTGACGTGTTCCCTTTTCCCCCCATCCTTGGCCACACGACCTCTTCAGTCATTCTGGTGAGCTGCCCTTTTTATGTTTTGCAAGCCCTGCCTGCTGCCTGTAACTGAGCTGTGGCTTTCTGATTTCTCCTGCATGCCTTTGTTTACCCAGCCCACCGCAGGCCACATGGCTATGGCATTAATCAGCCACATCGCATTGCTCTTAGGGGCTTTGGAGTGCTTATTAAGAGGCTACTTGACAGAGCTGAGCATAGCCTGTGTCTTCTAGGTCCATGGGGAGGAAAACTTCTTCCATTTTGGTTACTTGGAGAGTTAACTGAGTAAGAAGATATAAAATGAGTTGAACAATCTTAGTGATGCTGTTATTGAAAAAGCCCTTCAGTCAAGGATCTGAATGCAGTTTTAGAGGCATTTTCCTTCTTCACCCTTTTTTAAATGACCACTCCTTTGTTCCTAATAGGGGAATAGGAGCCGCGTCAGGGAGGTCACAGAAGGGAGGGAACTCTGGGAGAGGAGTAAGGCACTCCAGTAGAAATTGCAGAACGTTTGGTCATGTAGAAATACATCTTTGCCTGGCACTTGGTTGGTTCTCTGAACAACCCCACAAAGTAGTTATACAACCATTTCACAGATGAAAAAACTGAGACTAAGGTTAAGTGATTTTTCCCCCCTAAGATTTAAGTGGCATAGGCTTGTTTTCAACCCAGTTCTCGGCTTCTAATTTCCATGCCCTTACTCCATGTGGTGTTGCTTCTCAGAACAAATCAAGCCCCTTGAAAGAATGGGCTACTGTGCTTTATTTGTGCCTTCAGCTCCTTGGCACATGGTGTAACACCCAGGATATCAGTGTATCAGGTGTCAACTGAGTTAATTAATGATTAAGTGTCCTTCAGCCCCCATTCCACCCTCCTGGTAAACGGGAAGGCTCAAGGGCCGATGGAATGTACTGTAGAAAGATACGTTGCCTGCCGTGCCCTCAAATGAAGTGGCTCCTAGGATATTTCAAGGTGGCTGAAGTTTAGGAGACTTGACTGAGGAAGACACGAGCAGAAGATGAATTTAATGCCACCTTTTCTATTTCAACCTGTGGTGTTATTTCTCTTTCTTATAGTTGTTTATTCTGTACTGCATTTGTCTCTTTTTCCTGTTGTACCCAGCCTGCTGCATATTTCTATGGTTCCCTTCACATCTGTCTCCATGTCCTCCTTCATCAGAGTTCCTTCCCTCTGAGGATGAACCAGGACCCTTCCCTGGGGAAGTCAGGTTATTCCAGAGTGTCATCTCTTCTGGCCCCCCCGTTCTCTGTGGGTTCCCGCTCTGTCTTCCCTGCATGTAGTTTGACGTCTCTGGCCTTCCTGCCAGCTAGCCACCTGTTCCCGTTACTTTTACTTGCTCCACCTCGAATAACTACATTGTCCACCTCACAATTTCCACAGTAGCACACGAGAACAAGCAAATCTAACACTTGTGCCAATGTAAGCGTGAGAGTTATAGGTTGGGCACCAGAATAGCCCTCATTGTTAGGGTCAGAGTTCATTAAGGTGCCTATTTCTTGCATGTTCTTTAAATGGACCTTTGACTCTTGATAGCTACATGCCATTCTCCCCAAGTCATATATTTAATGGCCGAGTCACCTCACCTCAGACGTAAACACACTCACTGCACTGCTGAGTTATGTTTAAGGCCTCAGAACTGATGTTAATATTTATTTGAGCCCGACAGTTGTGAGGGAAATTAGTCATAGAAAGAATCATCCAATGTCTGTCAAAGGCAGTTATGTGTTTACCAATAAACTCTTTAAGAACAAGTCTCTATATATGACACATTTTATTACTATGAAGTGATGAGAGCCTGTCAAAGTCTATTGTGAATGTTCTTTGTATTATCTGTCACTTGGGTTCTCCATGGACTTGTTATCCTTGATTAGGTCTTTGATGGAATTTGACTAGGCTGTGATTTCCTACCAGTTTTTTCTAGAAGCCAGTAGTTTTTTGTGTTTTTTTAAGCATTTTGTTACCAGGCTTTATACAAGAGGCTAGCCTTTTGAATGAGTCAATTGTGGGAAGTCCCAGCAAGATACTATTATTGTCAAATGGAAAGTGGTTGAACAGGTTCCCAGGAATCAATCAGTTAATAGTCCTTTGTGGAGCCTTCCCAGGTGGTAAACCATGGGGGGGCTTCAGAATGAATGTAAAATGTGTTTATTCCTCCAGGAGCTTTGGCGTAGAATGAGCTTGTTCCCTAGGGTGGCCGCACCCTGGGGTGGTCTTCAGCTCTGGATGGCCCCAAAGCCTGGTTTAAGTACCTGGTTTCGAAATTTACTGTGTGAGACATAAAACTACCAAGTAGCTCTTTCTCTTCCAGCCTTTCTGAAAAGAATGCTTCTATCAGCTAATCGACACAGGAAATTATTCATGGACGAAGATGATCAAAATAGTTGCTATTTGTTAGTGTCCTGCTGTGTGTCAGGCTCTCCATCTACATTAATATATTTCATATAAACCTTATAAGAAGTCTCTAGAGGGAGTTAGTATGCTCATTTTGCAGGTAAGGAGACTGAGGCTTACTTAGTAAGGAAAAGTGCTTTGCCCAGTCAGGCATCAAAGGAAATCAGTAAAGCCTGAAGCTGTCACATTCTTTAGTCTCTCTTGGTCCCTAGGCATCTAGATTCTGATCTCACCTCAGATTAAAGTTTTTGGTTGTCCTTTTTCCAAAGGTAGGTTGTCTGAACACAATCTGAATACATAAATTGCACCAAATTTCAAAATGTGTAAAGGCCGCATATTTATTTTTTCCAATTTGTCACAATAGGTTTTATTGCTTATCTAAGTGGGCTGGGAGGTGAAAGAGTTACCGGTGACATTCTGGAAGAGGTGATGTACAAGTAACTAGTCCTGAAATTATAGATTCCAATGGAAAAACAAAAAGGACATGATCTCCAGATGTTAACATTCTCAGAATTTCATGTTGTCTTTGATGTTGTACAGGGACTCTCCTGGGAATGTGACTTGTTATCATATAATCTTAGCACTCCAAAGATACATTGGTTTGTGGAATATTTAGCAGGAAATGCACTATTCATTTTACTATTAGGGAAAGTGAGACTTGGAAGCTATCTTGCTTAAAACTGCGTAACTGGTTGGCTGAAATATTTCTGTAAAACCCCATTGAACTAGAGGCACTTTTCCTCTCAGCATTTCACCTAATAAAAACTCAGGATAATAATAAAAACTTACTGTAATGTATCAAGCAAAAAGTCATTTGTTACTCAACTTTTTGACTTATGTTTCTCTAAACAACTTGCATTAAAATAGGTTCATCTGAGTGTGCTTTGTATTTTGATTTTATTTTCCTTTGCCTTAAATATTTTCCCTGTGTTTCACATAGCCATGCACTCAGCTTCTGCACTTTCTGATTGCCTTCTTAGCCACATTGCACCTAAAGCTACAGCTTTCATACCTTCTTTCTCTATTGATATTAAAGTAACATGATACAGAGCATGGTGTAAAGTCAATTTTAGGGCTTCTCTTCTACACTATGCCTGTCTTCAGGCAGTTCTTTAATACCAGCTTATTCTTTCTTAGTTTGAGTTCTGCTCATGTTGCTTTACTGAAAATGTGTTACTTTCTAGTGTGACTAATGACTTCACTAGTCAACAAACTTAAGTTTTTTCTCAGTCCATATTCTTAATGGTTTGACAAATCATCCTCCTTGGAAACTGTCCTCTCTGGACTTAACCAGTATTATGTTCTCTTCATGCTTCGGTTTCTTTTTGTCGCTATTAGGTTGACTTTATTTTCTTCGGCCTAACAAGTAAACCCCATTGTTCCAGCCATTCCTCTTCTCTGCTTATAAAGGCAGCCTTGATACCTCACTTTTGGCCTGTCTTCTGAACTGTTGCTGTGCATGAACAGCTCTCAGCTAGACATCTCTACTTGAATTTTCTTCCTTACAACTCCTATGCTTTGTTACCTGTACACATATTTTTAATACCATTTACCTATCTAGAATATAGCTCTATACTCATTTGTATTTTTCTTAGCTATTTTCCAGAGCCTAGTCTAGGACTAGCCTTTTCCAAAGTCTTCAGACCACCTGGCCCTATATTATCTCATCTGTCTGTAAAGGTCTATAGCTAGGATAACTAATTCATCATCCAGACTAGGACATTTTTCAGAGTAGAAGGCAGTATCCTCATTAAAAAAGCTGGGACAACAGGAGTATACCAGGACTTCCAAGGAAAAACTGGGACAAAATGTCACCCTGTCTAAAGCCCATTTTTTTTGTTTGTACTTTCTGTTCAGCCTTTGGGGTTCACTTTAGCATTTACCTTGTGTTGTTACGAATGCTCCTATGCTTGTCTCCTGACTCCCTCTAATCAGTTATAGTATGCCTTCTACTTCCTCACATTCCCACATCTAACAATTTGTCATCTGTTTTTGTAGACACTAAGTTCTGTTAAATAGAGTACTCCTGGAAATCATTGCTTAGCAATTTTTACTTTATATTTAAGGGGTAGTTTTGCCAGGCAGATATAATGTTTCATTTTTCTCTCTAATTTAGCTTATTGACATGTGCATGCAGAACTGTGGTCCAAGTTTCCAATCTCTGATTGTGAAGAAGGAATTTGTTAAGGATAGTCTAGTCAAGCTGCTGAATCCCAGATATACCTTGCCATTAGACGTTCAGAATAGGATCTTGAGTTTCATTAAGGTAAGCCCCATTGTATGCCTTATGGAATGGTAAACTTCTAAGATTACAGTTTTAATTATGTGTCTCCCCTTTGGCTTAGTGACCCTTTACAAACAGAATTGAGCCAGAAGCGTTTAACTTTTTTATTTTCCATGTAACAGTAACTTCTTAGCATTGAGTGGTGCTCTTTTTCTGAAGAATTTATAATCTTATTTTCCTACTTTTCTCTCAGCTGCTATGTTATTCATGTCAGGTAGGAAATACAGTGATGTGTACACATTCATTTAGCAAATATGGAAACTATGTTCTGGAATAGATAACTGCTTTCAAAGTTATTTCGTAAACGAGCTATGGATGTTACTTTAGAATCTATTCTGGGTTCAGCACAGCAATAAAATCGTATCTATTCTAGGGTTTCATTGAAATGTTGAGGCATGGGAATTGATTAAAAGTATCTTGTATCATTCTAGTCTCTGAAAATGTACATTTTGTCTGTGACATTCAAAAGTAGCTTTCTCTTTCTGAGCAAGGTACATAATTGTCCTCTCTCATTTTTGGTCACCAGCTTAAGAACTGTGTTTTGTTTTTGATGCTGTTTTAACTCTGGAACCATCTCTTGAATTCAGACTTGGTCACAGGGTTTCCCAGGTGTGGATGTAAGTGAGGTGAAAGAAGTGTACCTGGACCTTCTTAAGAAAGGTGTTCAGTTTCCTCCCTCAGACGCAGAGCCTGAAACAGGAAGACAAGAGGTAGGAAGCCTTTCTCTGACTGATGTAGAGTAAGAGAGTATATTCTGTGGGTCTTTTCTCACTGGAAGGGAGAACCCTAGCTCCATCCAACTTAAGCAAAAGATGAATTGATTATAAGGATATTGCAATATCTCACAGACTAACCAAGCCTCAAGAAGGTTGGTGGTAGCTGGATCCTTCGAGCAGAGAAGCAAACACTCAAATGCCTTGGTGTCTGCTTGTCTTTGATCAACAGCTGTATTCCTCTCTCATTGCAAATTAGCTTTTCCCACATAGTAGATAACATAGCTGCTCAGTTTTCATGGTATAGCTTTAGCTTTTTCATATTCTCAGTCCATAAACCCTGGAGAATGAACTGATTGAACCAACCTGGGTCAGTTTTCCATTTCTGAACAAATAAACTGAGGTCCTGTTAAGAACATGGTGCTCCAAATGGAAGTTATTCAGATGGAGTAGAGGAGTAGAAAGTTTCCAAAATTAAGAATGGTGCTAGATAGGCAAGGGTCTCTACCATAGGTAGTGGTATAATAAACTTGTTGTTTATTAATACTGTGCCTATAGGAGCATTTCTCAAGTTTGCAAGTAATTTTCAAGGTTTTGAACTTCTTGTACTCTGAGTACCGATCATAATTCAGCTCTTAACTTTGTGTAGTTACCATACGAAGAAAGAGTAGTTCTCCTCTTCTGTAGATGATGAGCCCTCCGTTGGTAGACTGGGCAATTCAGGTGTATACCAGAAGTCCAACCTTTGTGGAGGCTTTGTCTTGAGGGCTAACTCTTCTACTTGGGTGGGCTGCTCCTGGCCACTACCCCCTGCCCCAGCTTTTTAACTCTTCATGAGCCTGCCCACCATACCCCTTTTTTTCTTTCTTCCAAGGTACAGTATAGTAGTGGCCTAGGACCTTGCTACTCAAAATGTAATTTGGGGTGTAATGGGTATAATCTGGGTGCTTGTTAGTCATACTCCATCCTTGAATAAATCAAACTTTTCATATTGGGGAAAAAAAATGCCAGGTGACTTCTTAATGCCAAGAAGCACTGGCCTAGAGCCCTGTACTCTGGGCCTTCCACCCCCATTTGGAAATGAGGCATTGACTCATTGGTATTCACTGGTGGAGAAGGAGAGGCCTTGCCAGCTGTGTTTTAAAAAGACTTGATCCAAAATGACTTAACATTTGTTTTTAAAAACCCAAAGAGAGGGCAGCAATGATCACACATGGCAGTTTTTTTTATAGACTCTTGGAATAAACTAAGAGCATTTTATTCAGTTTTAATTCAGTCGAGAATAGCCACCTTTCATTGAATATTTATTATGGGCCCACCATTTGCTTAGCACACTTCTCAAAATGCTGGGCAGGTTGCACATGTGATGATTTCCTCTACCCAGAACTAACAACCTCTACCCAGGACTTCGGTTAAGAGAAGTGATTGAGTCACGTGACTGGAAGAACTGGGCTTGGGGTGGCTGTGTTAACTCAAATAATATTATTTCCATATTTCCTGTTGATAGACTGTTGAGATCTCATCGAGTCCAACAACTGTCCCTACTGCACCAGCTCTTCCTCCTGTAATTGTTCCTAAGAACTCTACTATTACATTGGTCCCAGAACAGGTAACAATAGCAGCAATTTTATTTATTGATGACTTTTTCTAAATCCTAAGCACTTCATATACAACTGTTTGTATATCTTAACAATGTTATGAGGTAGAGGTGCTTCACTGTGTTCATTTTATAGCAGAGGGAACTGAAGCTTCATAATATTATGTGACTTAGCATAGTTCTATTTTAAGTGGAATTAGTCCCTTGGATCCTTGCTGATTCTGGAGCCCGAGCTCTTATCACCTGTGCTTGGCTAGTGGCTTTTGTGTCTTTGTGGAGGCTGGGCTGTGGAATGGATCTTTATCAACCAGTCAGTTGCTGGTGTTCCTGATAGGACTGTCCCTACACCGTCTCAGAGAGCTCAGTAAGTTGTGGCCTTATAACTAGCATTAATTTAGCTAACCATATTACATTTACTTGCTTGCCTATATCTGTTTATCAAAGGTCCAAATGAGCAATTGCTATATGAACTTCATTTCTGTCTTGCTATAAAGGAATTGTCATTTAAGATTTGTGCTTTTATTACTAAGTATTATATAAAAATCCATGTGATTAATTCCTCTTAGAATTTAATCCTAAAGAAAAGAGTGGTTGTTTCTTGATCCCTGTCTAATAGCATAAGAACTGAAAAACTTCGTTTTTTTTCCCCATTGGTTTCCAAGACACCCAGACTAACATTTGCCGTTTGTCCAGGTTCCTGGCAGAGTCACCTTTTCCCTTCTCCATATTGTTTATAATCTCTTTTCCCCTTCATTTTTAACTTTCCTAGAGCATATTTTTGGATTTATCACAAAAGATCTCCAGTCTCTTTAGAAGGTGACGGGTTGTACATTTATAAAGTAATTGTCTATCTATTTATATAAATTTGAAAATGTGAGATACTACAAAAGCTTTTGTCTTCCAACAGATGTCTCCTGGGAGCGGGAAACAAGGTAGCTATTCTTTATAGTTCACACTGGTGATTATATTGTTCTCTACAGATTGGAAAATTGCACAGTGAATTGGATATGGTGAAAATGAATGTGAAAGTGATGTCTGCCATACTGATGGAGAATATTCCTGGGTCTGAAAATCATGAAGACATAGAGCTTCTGCAGGTACAGCTTGATTTCAGGGACAGTCAGTCTCAGCATCTCTTAAAGTTACACTCTAAAGTCAGAGCCTTGGAGATGAAGGCACCTTAATATTGTCTGTTTCATCCTCCCACATCGTCAGTTGATTCTAAATTTAACAGGAAGCTTCAAGAATGACTCAGAAATAGGACAGTACCTTAGAACGTGATTCTCACCCTCTTATAATAAGTAATTTAACATCATTTAATCACTTATAGATTTGGTCCTTTATAATCTCTTATTAGTCTCTAATTGTTTTAAATATATAAGAGTTGCCTGTCCATCCATTCAACAAATATTGTAACTACAGTGTGGTAAAGAATATGGAAGTGGGGAGATTGTCTTAGTCCTCAAGGACCTTATGTCCAGTGAGACAGTATCAAAGTAAAATTTAAAAATTAATATCAAGATAATAAGAGAGTATGTGGCAAATAAGTTTTCAAAAATGGCCATAGCTAGTTGCTATTTGTTAGTGTCCTGCTGTGTGTCAGGCTCTCCATCTACATTAATATATTTCATATAAACCTTATAAGAAGTCTCTAGAGGGAGTTAGTATGCTCATTTTGCAGGTAAGGAGACTGAGGCTTACTTAGTAAGGAAAAGTGCTTTGCCCAGTCAGGCATCAAAGGAAATCAGTAAAGCCTGAAGCTGTCACATTCTTTAGTCTCTCTTGGTCCCTAGGCATCTAGATTCTGATCTCACCTCAGATTAAAGTTTTTGGTTGTCCTTTTTCCAAAGGTAGGTTGTCTGAACACAATCTGAATACATAAATTGCACCAAATTTCAAAATGTGTAAAGGCCGCATATTTATTTTTTCCAATTTGTCACAATAGGTTTTATTGCTTATCTAAGTGGGCTGGGAGGTGAAAGAGTTACCGGTGACATTCTGGAAGAGGTGATGTACAAGTAACTAGTCCTGAAATTATAGATTCCAATGGAAAAACAAAAAGGACATGATCTCCAGATGTTAACATTCTCAGAATTTCATGTTGTCTTTGATGTTGTACAGGGACTCTCCTGGGAATGTGACTTGTTATCATATAATCTTAGCACTCCAAAGATACATTGGTTTGTGGAATATTTAGCAGGAAATGCACTATTCATTTTACTATTAGGGAAAGTGAGACTTGGAAGCTATCTTGCTTAAAACTGCGTAACTGGTTGGCTGAAATATTTCTGTAAAACCCCATTGAACTAGAGGCACTTTTCCTCTCAGCATTTCACCTAATAAAAACTCAGGATAATAATAAAAACTTACTGTAATGTATCAAGCAAAAAGTCATTTGTTACTCAACTTTTTGACTTATGTTTCTCTAAACAACTTGCATTAAAATAGGTTCATCTGAGTGTGCTTTGTATTTTGATTTTATTTTCCTTTGCCTTAAATATTTTCCCTGTGTTTCACATAGCCATGCACTCAGCTTCTGCACTTTCTGATTGCCTTCTTAGCCACATTGCACCTAAAGCTACAGCTTTCATACCTTCTTTCTCTATTGATATTAAAGTAACATGATACAGAGCATGGTGTAAAGTCAATTTTAGGGCTTCTCTTCTACACTATGCCTGTCTTCAGGCAGTTCTTTAATACCAGCTTATTCTTTCTTAGTTTGAGTTCTGCTCATGTTGCTTTACTGAAAATGTGTTACTTTCTAGTGTGACTAATGACTTCACTAGTCAACAAACTTAAGTTTTTTCTCAGTCCATATTCTTAATGGTTTGACAAATCATCCTCCTTGGAAACTGTCCTCTCTGGACTTAACCAGTATTATGTTCTCTTCATGCTTCGGTTTCTTTTTGTCGCTATTAGGTTGACTTTATTTTCTTCGGCCTAACAAGTAAACCCCATTGTTCCAGCCATTCCTCTTCTCTGCTTATAAAGGCAGCCTTGATACCTCACTTTTGGCCTGTCTTCTGAACTGTTGCTGTGCATGAACAGCTCTCAGCTAGACATCTCTACTTGAATTTTCTTCCTTACAACTCCTATGCTTTGTTACCTGTACACATATTTTTAATACCATTTACCTATCTAGAATATAGCTCTATACTCATTTGTATTTTTCTTAGCTATTTTCCAGAGCCTAGTCTAGGACTAGCCTTTTCCAAAGTCTTCAGACCACCTGGCCCTATATTATCTCATCTGTCTGTAAAGGTCTATAGCTAGGATAACTAATTCATCATCCAGACTAGGACATTTTTCAGAGTAGAAGGCAGTATCCTCATTAAAAAAGCTGGGACAACAGGAGTATACCAGGACTTCCAAGGAAAAACTGGGACAAAATGTCACCCTGTCTAAAGCCCATTTTTTTTGTTTGTACTTTCTGTTCAGCCTTTGGGGTTCACTTTAGCATTTACCTTGTGTTGTTACGAATGCTCCTATGCTTGTCTCCTGACTCCCTCTAATCAGTTATAGTATGCCTTCTACTTCCTCACATTCCCACATCTAACAATTTGTCATCTGTTTTTGTAGACACTAAGTTCTGTTAAATAGAGTACTCCTGGAAATCATTGCTTAGCAATTTTTACTTTATATTTAAGGGGTAGTTTTGCCAGGCAGATATAATGTTTCATTTTTCTCTCTAATTTAGCTTATTGACATGTGCATGCAGAACTGTGGTCCAAGTTTCCAATCTCTGATTGTGAAGAAGGAATTTGTTAAGGATAGTCTAGTCAAGCTGCTGAATCCCAGATATACCTTGCCATTAGACGTTCAGAATAGGATCTTGAGTTTCATTAAGGTAAGCCCCATTGTATGCCTTATGGAATGGTAAACTTCTAAGATTACAGTTTTAATTATGTGTCTCCCCTTTGGCTTAGTGACCCTTTACAAACAGAATTGAGCCAGAAGCGTTTAACTTTTTTATTTTCCATGTAACAGTAACTTCTTAGCATTGAGTGGTGCTCTTTTTCTGAAGAATTTATAATCTTATTTTCCTACTTTTCTCTCAGCTGCTATGTTATTCATGTCAGGTAGGAAATACAGTGATGTGTACACATTCATTTAGCAAATATGGAAACTATGTTCTGGAATAGATAACTGCTTTCAAAGTTATTTCGTAAACGAGCTATGGATGTTACTTTAGAATCTATTCTGGGTTCAGCACAGCAATAAAATCGTATCTATTCTAGGGTTTCATTGAAATGTTGAGGCATGGGAATTGATTAAAAGTATCTTGTATCATTCTAGTCTCTGAAAATGTACATTTTGTCTGTGACATTCAAAAGTAGCTTTCTCTTTCTGAGCAAGGTACATAATTGTCCTCTCTCATTTTTGGTCACCAGCTTAAGAACTGTGTTTTGTTTTTGATGCTGTTTTAACTCTGGAACCATCTCTTGAATTCAGACTTGGTCACAGGGTTTCCCAGGTGTGGATGTAAGTGAGGTGAAAGAAGTGTACCTGGACCTTCTTAAGAAAGGTGTTCAGTTTCCTCCCTCAGACGCAGAGCCTGAAACAGGAAGACAAGAGGTAGGAAGCCTTTCTCTGACTGATGTAGAGTAAGAGAGTATATTCTGTGGGTCTTTTCTCACTGGAAGGGAGAACCCTAGCTCCATCCAACTTAAGCAAAAGATGAATTGATTATAAGGATATTGCAATATCTCACAGACTAACCAAGCCTCAAGAAGGTTGGTGGTAGCTGGATCCTTCGAGCAGAGAAGCAAACACTCAAATGCCTTGGTGTCTGCTTGTCTTTGATCAACAGCTGTATTCCTCTCTCATTGCAAATTAGCTTTTCCCACATAGTAGATAACATAGCTGCTCAGTTTTCATGGTATAGCTTTAGCTTTTTCATATTCTCAGTCCATAAACCCTGGAGAATGAACTGATTGAACCAACCTGGGTCAGTTTTCCATTTCTGAACAAATAAACTGAGGTCCTGTTAAGAACATGGTGCTCCAAATGGAAGTTATTCAGATGGAGTAGAGGAGTAGAAAGTTTCCAAAATTAAGAATGGTGCTAGATAGGCAAGGGTCTCTACCATAGGTAGTGGTATAATAAACTTGTTGTTTATTAATACTGTGCCTATAGGAGCATTTCTCAAGTTTGCAAGTAATTTTCAAGGTTTTGAACTTCTTGTACTCTGAGTACCGATCATAATTCAGCTCTTAACTTTGTGTAGTTACCATACGAAGAAAGAGTAGTTCTCCTCTTCTGTAGATGATGAGCCCTCCGTTGGTAGACTGGGCAATTCAGGTGTATACCAGAAGTCCAACCTTTGTGGAGGCTTTGTCTTGAGGGCTAACTCTTCTACTTGGGTGGGCTGCTCCTGGCCACTACCCCCTGCCCCAGCTTTTTAACTCTTCATGAGCCTGCCCACCATACCCCTTTTTTTCTTTCTTCCAAGGTACAGTATAGTAGTGGCCTAGGACCTTGCTACTCAAAATGTAATTTGGGGTGTAATGGGTATAATCTGGGTGCTTGTTAGTCATACTCCATCCTTGAATAAATCAAACTTTTCATATTGGGGAAAAAAAATGCCAGGTGACTTCTTAATGCCAAGAAGCACTGGCCTAGAGCCCTGTACTCTGGGCCTTCCACCCCCATTTGGAAATGAGGCATTGACTCATTGGTATTCACTGGTGGAGAAGGAGAGGCCTTGCCAGCTGTGTTTTAAAAAGACTTGATCCAAAATGACTTAACATTTGTTTTTAAAAACCCAAAGAGAGGGCAGCAATGATCACACATGGCAGTTTTTTTTATAGACTCTTGGAATAAACTAAGAGCATTTTATTCAGTTTTAATTCAGTCGAGAATAGCCACCTTTCATTGAATATTTATTATGGGCCCACCATTTGCTTAGCACACTTCTCAAAATGCTGGGCAGGTTGCACATGTGATGATTTCCTCTACCCAGAACTAACAACCTCTACCCAGGACTTCGGTTAAGAGAAGTGATTGAGTCACGTGACTGGAAGAACTGGGCTTGGGGTGGCTGTGTTAACTCAAATAATATTATTTCCATATTTCCTGTTGATAGACTGTTGAGATC